CACAAATCAAAGAGAGCAAGTGGAGGAAGGCATATAAATGGCAGAGTGACAAGCTACACCTCCAGCCATCTTGCTGCCGAGGGCGACCATCCGTCCTCCCGCATCACTCACTGTGCTGACGTCTTGTCAACCCACGTCGCTGTTTTTTTTCTTTTTCTTTTCTTTTCTTTTTTTTTTTCCTTTTTTTAGACTTCCTTTTTTTCCTCTCTCATTTGCGACTAGTACAAGACCTCGGTGATACATTTCAAGTTTACGACATGCCAGACGTCAAGAAAAATTCAGATTCAAGAAACCATAAACTTTATGCCCACATAAAAGGTTATTCAGATGTAAATATGACCCATAAAGGCCCTTTTAAAAACAAATAACCTAAGCGAGACATGTAAATGAAATTGGTAAAATATGAAACGGAGTCCATCCAATCAATATCAATCCCCACATGTATAACCGAATAAAAAACAATTACCAAAAACGCTTTTTTCCCCTGTCGTCGAGAAGAAAATTGTCCTTTTAAAAAATGAAATGAAGCTCAATGCCTTTCCGACAACTGAATAAACGGGGCACTGCCGGCGGACGGACAGGGTTATGCCTATGTAGAAAAGGTAGGCATGAAATAAAACTTTAGTCACTTTGCGGTGATAACATAAAAGCAATATCTCTTTTTACAGAGAGCTTTATTCTCTTTTGTTTTTTGTTGTTATGGTGCTTTTCCCATATACAGACTATCAGTAAGACAAATAAACGCCTGTTTGTTATACGGGTGAGACAAGAGAATACATCGGAGGCTCGTATTTCTTGGTGTTCGTACTATTAGCTATTTCCTTTTATTCTCTCTCTCTCTCTCTCTCTCCTCCCTTCTTTCCCTCCTTTCCCTCTATCCTCTCTCTTTCTCTCTCTCTCCTCTCTCTCTCTCGCTCTCTCTCTCTCTCTCTCTCTCTCTCTCTCTCTCTCTCTCTCTCTCTCTCTCCTCTCTCTCTCTCTCTCTCTCTCTCTCTCTCTCTTCTCTCTCTCTCTCTCACCTTTTCTCACCCTTTCTCTCTCTTCTTCACCCTTCTCTCTCTTTCTCACCCTTTCTCTTCTTTTCTCACCCTTTCTCTCTCACATCCCCTCCCTCTCTCTCACTTTCCCTCCCTCTTTTCTTCTCCTTCCCTCCCCCTCTCTCTTTCCTCCCTCCCTTCTCCTTTCCCTCCCTCCCTCTCTCCTCCCCTCCCTCCTCCCTCTTTCCCTCCCTCTTCTCCCTCCCTCTTCCATTCCCTCTCTCTCTCTTTTTTCCATTCCTCCTCTCTCTTCCTCCCTTTTCCTCACTCTCCACTTCTCCCTCTCTCTCTCTCTCTCTCCTCCCTCATCCTCTCTCTCCTCCCTCCTCTCTCTTTCCCTCTTCTCCCTCTCCTTTCCCTCCTCTCTCTTTTCCCTTCTCCCTCTCCCTCTTTCCGTCCCTCCCTCTCTCTTTCTCCCTCTCTCTCTCTTTCCCTCCCTTCTCTCTCTCTCTCTCTCATTCCCTCTCTCCTCCCTCCTCACTCTCTCTCCCTTCTCTCTCTCTCTCCCTCTCCCTCCCTCTCTCTCTCTCTCTCCCTCCTCTCCTTTTCCCTCCCTCCTCTCTCTTTCCCTCCCCTCTCTCCTTCCTCTCCCCTCTTCTCTCTTTCCGTCCCTCCCTCCTCTTCTCCCTCCCTCTCTCTCTCTCTCTCTCTCTTCTCTCTCTCTCTCCTCTCTCCTCTCTCTCTCTCTCTCTCTCTCCTCTCTCTCTCTCTCTCTCTCTCTCTCTCTCTCTCTCTCTCCTCCTCTCTCTTCTCTCTCTCTCTCTTTCTCTCTCTTCTCCTTCTCTCTCTTCTCTTTCTCTCTCTCTCTCTCTCTCTCTCTCTCTCTCTCTCTCTCTCTCTCTCTCTCTCTCTCTCTCTCTCTCTCTCTCTCTCTCTCCTCTCTCTCTCTCTCTCTCTCTCTCTCTCTCTCTCTCTCTCTCTCTCTCTCTCTCTCTCCCTCCCTCCTAACTAAATGTACAAAACCATTATAAACATCCTACACAAAACATATACACATACAAACTGTATATTCATTAAACATATATAGTCGCCAGTCGTTTTTTCGTTTGTCTCCCTCTCTCCCTCCCTGGCTCTCTCTCCCCCACTTCCTCCCATTCAGTCAAGGTATCCATCCCTCTCCCCTACTCTTTTCATGCACCAATTTAGCCCCTGGATGTTGTGTGCGGTTAGGGTAGGGGTAGGGGTAGGGTTAGGGGTAGTAAGTAGGTCGGTGGGAAGGCGCACCCTATCCCCCACCCCCTCCTCCCCTCCCTCACCCCCTCACCCCGCCCTCGCCTCCCCTCTCGGCATCCCACGCTACTACAACTCGACACCATCGCGACTTCCGGTTCCGACGCCTTCGCTCGGGGCAGGGCGAGGGAGGAAAGGAGAGGCTTGAGGAGCAGGAGGGGCGAGGATGGAGGCGGGGAGGGCTTGAGGAGGCGGAGGGGTGAGGGAGGAAAGGAGAGGCTTGAGGGCGGGAGGGAGAAGGAGAGGCTTGAAGGGGAGGGGCGAGGTGGAGAGGCTTGGGGCGGAGGGGGTGAGGGTGGGAAAGAGAGCTAAGAAGGAATGGGGGAGGAGGATGAAAGTGGGAAGAAAAGTGACAAGGAGTTAAGGTAAGGGTGATAGATGCTACAATCGAGGAGAAGGATAGGGGGAGGAGGAGAAGAGGGTAAAAGAGAGAGAGAGCGGAGGAGACGGTGATGTGAAAAGAAAAGAGAGAGGGGACGAGAGGAGAGGGGGGGAATCGAGTGGCTTCCTTGAAATGTGAAGCGGCGAATGGGTAAACTATGCACTGATGGGAATACAAGTATGTATATAATCCACTAAAATTCCTGGCGGGAAACTGTATGCGCGCATGCCGAGTAGTACTACACTTCCCATGGCGAGGGCAGATTATGACTATTACACTTTCTTTCTCCTTCTTCCTCTCTCTCTCTCTCTCACAGTTTTTATTTATCTTTTCCTTTCCCTTTCCCTTCCGTTGCAGTTTTTTCTTTTACGTTCCTTTTCCACCTTTTCAACTCCCTCCTTTTCCCTCCCTCTACCTTTACTTCCCCCTCTCCCCCTTTATCTCCCTTTCCCCTCCCCCTTTCTTTCTCTACCTCTCTCCCCTACCCCATCTATCATCTCTCTATCTATAAGCATACGTGTATAAACACACTCACCCTCGCTCCCGCCCTCCTCACCCCACAATCCCGCCCTCCTTCACGCCCACCCACACCACGCCCTCACTCACTCGCACCCTCACTCACTCACTTACTCCCGCCCTCACTCACACTCTCCCTCCCACCTTCACTTCCTCTCCTCCCAATCTCCTCTTCCCCTTCTGCGGCGCCCTTGCACATGTGGCCTCGTATCTTCAAGCATTTCATCCTCGCGCGGTCCTGCCTACTCGCGCGACCCATTCTAAAAATAACTTCGCCATTCCCTCCTACGGTATGGAAGCAAAACAGAAGGGAAAATGCAAAAAATAAAAAAAAGGAACAAACAGCAGTAAAAAAATTGAACCGGGTTAAAGCCGGAGGGAATAAATACATAATGGAATAGATACAAAAATAAAAAGATAAAGACAGGGAACAAATTTTCAAAAAGAGTTTCGATAAAAACCTATAAAGGGGAAATACAAAAAAAAAAGATAAAAAATACGCGAAATGTAAGTATGTCTATAAATATAAAAGAGAAGTACATATACACAAAAACAAGTCAAAATCTACGCCAAATATCTCATATAACCTGCATTATGTCGAGAGAAGGAAAGCGCGGTGGGGAAGTTAGCAAACTTGGATGGGGAGGAACGAAGAGTGGGGGGGGAGGGGTAGACACACAGAAAGGATATATGAAAAGAGATAAACAGATAGACAGAGAGAGGAGAGAGAGAGAGAGAGAGAGAGAGAGAGGAGAGAGAGAGAGAGAGAGAGAGAGAGAGAGAGAGAGAGAGAGAGAGAGAGAGAGAGAGGAGAGAGAGATAGAGAGAAGAGAAGAGAGAGAGGGGGGGGTTAGACACCGAGCCCTAATTATGTTATTTATAAACTCCGACCGCTATGACCACCACAGAGCGGATGGCACAAAAATAAAAGAAAATGAAATACGAAGATCCAAAGCACACACACACACAAGTGAGAAGGAGAAGGAGAAGAGAAGAAGAAGAAGAAGAAAAGAAGAAAAGAGAAGAAGATGAGGGGGAACAGAAGGAGGGGTAAAAGGAGGGGAGAGGAGGAAGAGGAGAAAGAGGAGGTGGCGACAGAGACAAAGAAAGGGACAGAGAGTGACATAGGAGGGGGAGAGTTATGGAAGGAGTGATCTACGAAAGAGGGGAAAGGAAGAACGAGGAAGTGTGAGAGAGGAGAGAAGAGTGAATAAGCGTTAGGAACAGAGACCAGACTCAGAAACACCATGGGAAGCAGACAGAAGGAAACGAAAAAAGAATCAGGAATAAAGACACAGCTAGAAAGAAAGAAAACAGAAAAGGACAATAGAGGAAAAGGCGCAGGACACGCAAGGAGGCGTTTTAGAGGGAAAATGCCAACGGAACTTTTTCCGGCCGCGTCCATCACCAGAGCGGGTACTGCGGCCACGCGATATAACCTGGCTCTCTCATTATAGATGCTAACCCCGTGGCCCTTGAAACCTTTTTTTTATTGAATTGTTCTTTAAATATTTCAACACCGTAAACGATGTTCTGAGGCAACTTTCTCCTTTTATCGGTTTGTTAAAACAGCTGCCTCTTATTTCCGCCTGGTTTTCTATTTCTTCCTTTCATATATTTGGCATTCATACAGTTCATCAACTTTTTTTGGAATCAATCAACAAGAGACATACCCTACTTACCTCCCGCTGCGGCAGATAATCATTAAATACAAGCCGTCGCAATTCCTCAAACATTGTCGTGACGTACAACCAGTTTTGCAAAACAAGATGTACTCTGAATGCAATACAAACCGACCGAGTCTTATGAATATGCATAGAGGGAAGCGTCCTTACCTGAAGGATGCTCTTGTCCAGGGAGGCGAGGATGAGCACCGGGGACGAGTCGGGGGCGTGTTTCGGCGGGCACACGAGAGGGGAGGGCGGGCGCAACGCCCCCTCAGCGCCAAACACGCTCTCTGTTCCAACAGAAAATATCCCAAATTGAGCAACTACTGTGAAACTGATTAATATAAATGAATCATAAACCCGCATGCCCGAACGTGTGTGTGCCAAATATCGTTCCAACAATCGCAGAATTCGCTAATGAGGAACCCTAAGGCTATCAAAATAACTAAAAAAAATCCTTTACATTAGCAGTTCGGTGAACTTCTAAACAACAGCTATAAAACACATTAGTAATCCCTTACGGCGGCAAATTTGATTCCATTATCACAGGATGTATTGTCAGGATGCTTTCCACATGGCATGGGGAAGGGTTATACATAATATCATCAACACAGTCATATAATTTATATAATACTGTCATATACAACAATATCAATTACCGACACACTCTCATTTTACGAAATACTGCAACCCTGACTTCTATAATGTGCATCCTCATTAAAAATATAATTAACACCATTCTGACTTATGCAGTTAATTAGACAGTATATCATAAATTAAATAAGTCACACTTTACTCACCCTCAAACTTGATGACATTCTGTATGACGGAGGTCACACTTGAGGTCACGGTGGTGCCTGAGGTCACCGCCAAGGCCTCCGTCTTCTCGACCTTGCCCTTCGTTGTGGTCGTCTTCGTCAAAGTGGTCGTCACTACCTCGGGGGTCGTTTTGCTCGCCGCGACGGCCACCGCCGCCGCCTTCTCCTCCAGCACCTCCCCCTCCTTGGACGCCGCCTTGGCATCCTTTTCCCCGACCACCTTCTCCTGATCGGCCTTCTCAGGCGTGATGCGCGAGAAGGCCGGGGAGGTGGGCGAAGGCGGCGTGGCGGAAGCGGAACTCTCGTACAGCTGCCCCTGCAGCGCCTTCAGCCGGGACTCAATCGTGTTCATGCGGTTCTGGGGGCGAAAGCGAGCATAGGAGTACATACTGAGGCTGCTGGTGGTGTCTGCTGCGGAGGCCGAAGCCTGGTCGGTTAAGGACAGCCTCTTGAACATGGTACTCCTGCTGGTGTTCCTGGTCGAATAAAGCTGATTCCTCCTGCACGAGTATCGCCACTGCCTCAGCAAAGCTTCAGCTTACGTGCTTCACAGAAAGAGCAGTGATAAAAGTCCAATGTAACACAATCACTTTGATCTTGCTCATTAAGGGCTGTAAAACAAAGCTTCCGAAAATAAGATCTTCCTGCATTCGACCGCAACTCAGAAACGAAACGGGATCCGACAGACATTTCACTTTTAACCGTAATTAATAATCTTCATAAAATCAAAGCGTTTCCTGCTCTAACACAAACTTGCCGCCGGTAATCGCTAACAAAACCTTGATGCTGCCGTTTACACGTCGTTTATCCCGCGTCCACATAAACACTAGACCTCTTAAAAATAACTAATGCCCATCGCTGCCATGCTCTGCCAAGTGCCCCAAATAAGGACTGCATACCTGAGAAAGAACAGTTTTTTCACAAGATCTGATTACATATCATGAGGTCAACATTGTTTTCAGCAACGATCTATTCCCTTCCCTACTCAAGCAATGAAGTAAGATCTTAAATCGTGGAAAGCCGGCCAATGTACGCTATAGCGAGGTTACCAAGTCCATAAATAAATTTCCACACGAGCGCTTGGTCGAGGGGCTGTCAGGTACGTATGTCCTCCCTCTTCTCCTTCTCCCCCTCTGTCTTATTTTCCCTTCCTTGATTTCTCCCCCATCCTCCCCTCGCCCGCAAGCGTCCGCGGCCTGCGTGCGTGAGGTCCGGCCAGCCCCTCGTCCGCCGCCCCCCTCTCCGCCCCTCGCCAGAACCAAAACAAACCTTGTGGTCTGCCTCCCATCAGCACAAGCATCCTTCGCCTATTCCCAGACAAGTTCACTTCACCTCGCCCTTTTCGCCTCCTCTTTCTCATCCTCCTCCTTCTACTTCCCTTGCTCCTTTTCGTTCCTTCTCCTCCCCGCCTTCTACTCGCCCTGCTATCTTAATTAATGGCCAACGCGATGCACTTAAAGTAAGAGACCATCGCCCCATGTTTCCCCAAAAATGCAGCCGCCAGTGCCAGCCATGACAGCAGTGCCAGCCATGACGACGCAAAGGTGACGTCTAGCCTTGACAAGATAATGCAATCGAGATCCATCTCTTGCGGCAGACACAGTAAGGGCGGAATGCAGGGGTGCGGGATGACACGGTTATGGGCCCACATGCCTCGAGCCTCAGTGGCCTTCATCAGGTCACCAGTTTGTTGTAAAATATAACACCTATCAACTTGGATTTTCGTTGTATAACATAATATAACCGTAAACTTGGCTACACAGATAAAACGTCTAGCAGCTACATAGTAAAAAATAGCATCTGTGATTCCTGCGGAAAACAAGCCAGCGCGAGTAAAAAGCGTAACGTGCATTTGAGTCAACAAAAGCGAGTAGAAGCGTGAAGAGCACGAGTCCGCACGAGTTCCGAGCGCAAATGCCTCAACGCCGGACATTCCCAAGCGACGCTGAGCGGACGTCCACCCGCGTCCGTGTCCGTGTTTGAGTGTCAGGGGAGAAAACACGAGTCGCGGTCCGGAGGCGACAGGTCTGGAGGATGGATGAGCCTGGCCGGGGACCAATGTTGGGACTCGTGACTAATGAGATAATAACATTGGCAACGATGTCGATGCAGCTCTAACCTTACGGCATTGAACGAGACAGGCAGCTGTATTGCATTTATTTCCTTTTGGGATGTTTATTCCCTTTTCCTTTTGGCACAGAGTTGAAATACTTGTTCTGACGATAAAAATAAAAATAGAAAAATAATAGACGCAACGTCACAACAATTCCCACAACTAACAATAAAAAAAAAAAAAAAAAAAAAACATCGATGATCAAAAACGGTAAAAAATAGCAATAACAAAAAAAATCGACAAATGACAGCACTGATAATACCAACAACGCTAACAACAACAAAACAAAAACTAAAACGCTAGCAATAAACAGAAAAATAGTTACTCCCCAACACACGAACAGACATTCCACTCCGGAGGTAAAAAAAAAGGAGAAAAAGACTAAGAGACACACTAACGCAGCGAAACGAACACCCCCCAATAAACATGCCCAAAATTTCCAATACTACTTTCCGCCTTTCTTGCCAGCGCGCCATTAACGCATTTTTCGCCCCTCGTCCGCCGCCCGCGCATCCATCATCCCTCGTTATCGGGTACACGAGGGCGTAACGGCCAAGCATAGAGGATGACACAGGGATGGCTGCGACTCGAGCTTTGGAGGACGAGGTGGTGACGGCTGCGTTTTAGAGACGGGAGGAAGGGGGGAGAGGGAGGGGGGAGGGAGGGGAGGGGGAAGGGTACACCAGGCGACTCGAGCTTGGAGGACGAGGCGCGGACAGCTGCGTTTTAGAGGTAGAAGGAGGGGGAGGGAAGGTAGGAGGGGAGGGGGAGGAATGCTTGAAGGACAGGGGGGATGGGAGGGGAGGGGATACAGGAGGAGGGGAGAGGATACAGGAGGGGAAGGGAGGAGATGGAAAAAAATAAAAGGATGGGAGAGGAGGGATACATAGAAAGGAGAGGAGAGGAGGGGAGATGAGAAGAAAGGAGAGTAGTGAATAGGAGAGAAAAGGAGAGGAGTGAAGAGGAGAGAGGAGGAGAAGAGAAGAGGGGAGAAAAGGAAAGAAAAAAGAGAAGAGAAGAGAAAAGAAGAGGTGAGGTGAGGGGCGAAAAGAAAAGGAGAGGGAAGGAAGGGAAGGAAGGGAAGGGAAGGGAAAGGAAGGGAAGGGAAGGGAAGGAAGGGAAGGGAAGGGAAGGGAAGGGAAGGGAAGGAGGGAAGGAAGGGAAGGGAAGGGGAAGGGAAGGGAAGGGAAGGGAAGGGAAGAGAAAGGAAGAGAAGAGAAGGGAGGAAAGGGGAGTGGAGATTAAGGACGTTCGGACTCGAGAACCAAGCGTTCTCAATCTGTTTTTCTTATTTTTCTTACGGTTATTCTGCCCAATTCGTCTATATATCTGCCTTCCCCATCTCTTTCTATTTTTCTCCTCTCTACTTCTCCCCTTCCTCCCTTCCCCTTTTCTCTCTCTCCCATCTTCTTCCCCTTCCGCATTCCTCTCCCACTCTCTCCCTTCCCTTTCCCCTTCCCCCCTTCTTCCCCTTACGCATTCCTCTCCCACTCTCTCCCCTTCCCCTTTCCCCCTCCCCTTCTTCCCCTTCCACATTCCTCTCCACTCTCTTCCCTTCCCCTTTCCCTCTCCCTTTTTCCCCTTCCACATTCCTCCCCACTCTCTTCCCTTTCCTTCCCCTCTCCCCTTTCCTTCCCTTCCCATTCCTCCCCACTCTCTCCCCTCCCTCCTACCTCCTCGATCCCTTCTTCCCTTTCCCTTCTTCCCTTCCTCCTCCTCTCTTCCCCTCTCCTTCTCTCCCTCCCACCCTCCTAAATCTCTATTACCGAGAAGCCACTAAGGCCGTCGTTTAACACATGCCAACTTTTGATTTATCTCCGCCTTTCCCTTATACCTTGAGAATATGAATCAAGACGCAAAGGATCCCGAGGATAATAGGTAAAAAAAAAATGAGGGTGATGGTTTAGGATCGTTCTGTGATTATTGATTGTTATTGGTGATGGTGATGGTGGTGGTGGTGGTGTGGTGGTGTGGCGATGATGATGATGATTGATGATTGAACGATGATGGTGGGGTGATCGAGTGGTGGTGGTGGTGGTGGTGGTGGTGGTGGTGGTGTGGTGGTGTGATTGATGATGATGTGATGATGATGGTGATGATGATGATGATGATGATGATGAGGTGGTGATGTGATGATGATGATGATGATGGTGGTGGTGGTGGTGATGTGATTGATGATGATGATGATGACGATGATGTGATGGTGATGGTGGTGGTGATGTGATGATGATGATGATGATGTGAATGGATGGTGAAATGGGATAATGGTGATGTGATGGTGACGATGTGATTTGATGATGACGATCAGCACTGCCATCACCATCCCCTTCGATGATATGTGATGGTGATCATAATCATCACTCCTACCATCACCATCGCCTTCAAACCTCTTTACTGCTACCACAAAAAGAAATGCAATCATAGCAACTGACACATCAAAGTAAGACATACCGGGAAATTCATAAAAATCGTGGCAACGGCGGCCGAGTGTCTTTGAGATACGGAAATGAGGTTATTAGCACCTAATTATTTATCGGAAGAACCAATATTCTTGCATTACACATTTTCATCCGACCGCTTCCTCGCTCACTTCTCCCTTCTTGGCTGTGGGGTTTCTTTTTTTCTTTCTTTCTTTCTCTCACTCTCACTCTTTCTTTACTCATTTATTTATTTATTTATTTAACTATTTATCTATTTCTCTCTCTCTCTCTCTCTCTCTCTCTCTCTCTCTCTCTCTCTCTCTCTCTCTCTCTCTCTCTCTCTCTCTCTCACTCACTCACTCACTCACTCACTCACTCACACTCACTCACTCACTCACTCATCACATCACTTCACTCACTCTCACTCACTCACTCTCTCTACTCTCTCTCTCACTCTCACTCACTTCACTTCACTTCTCACTCACTCTCCACTCACTCACTCACTCACTCACTTCTCACTCACTCACTCTCACTCACTCACTCACTCTCACTCACTCACTCTCACTCACTCACTCTCACTCACTCTCTCACTCACTCACTCTCACTCACTCACTCTCACTCACTCATTCTCTCACTCTCTCACTCACTCACTCACTCTCACTCATTCACTCACTCGCTTGCTCACGAACTCATTCACTCACTTCGTTCGTTCGCCTCACTAACTCATTTCACTCACTCATTCACTCGCTCGCTGGTTCGCTCACTAACTCACTCATTCGTTCGCTCACTAACTCATTCACTCACTCACTCATTCACTAACTCATT